ACAGAAATATCCAAATTAGGTAGTCGTTTAGAAGAGGATGTTGCGATGCATCTAGAAATTTCCATCACAAGTCCTGTTTCATTATCTCGAACAGTTGAGTTTCATAGTAATTCAATCAAACCATCATTTGAAACATTTAAAGTGCAAAGATCGCCCAAAATTTTATTAGTTTCATATTTTGGATGTTCAATCACATCTCTTGTGAAGCCATGTCCCAACGTACGGTATTCTATACTATCGAGAACAAAATTGTATATTTCTTTACATTCAACTATGCTTGCATCGCCGATATCATGCGGAAATTTTTAGATACTGATCCGTACCGGATGTCACGGCGTAATAACTAAAGCATTGCCAAAACGAACAACCGAGATATTTATACTTGTCCGCAAAAATTTTACTACATAAACAATAGAAACCTTTAATTTAGCTGAAGTTGAAAGAACATTGTCTTTACAAATATCTTCCAGTAGTTTAATTATTCTACTTGCTAACAACTCAACAACTTATATGAAAGCAAATCCTGTCATAAGATACTGAACATCTCAAAGGGGTTAAATTATATCTTAAATCTACAACGAAGGATCTTTCACAGTTCCGATCGAAACGCTGTTCGTAATTTAGCAGTTTAGAGATCTCATATGAAACAAGTCGCCTAGTCTTTATTATTGTCTTTTCATCAATAGATATTGATAACTGTAACAAGTTGTTTATATGGACTCACACGCACGCACATCCTCAAAATATAAAGTTCATCGAACAGGCGAAACAGCTTTACAGTTTTTTAAAAATGAAAGAAGCGTGTGACTGTAATTTTTTGATGGTAGAACTAATAGCATAAATAGCAATATAGGCGGTATAAACGAGGTAAGATATCCGACGAGATACAACCAAGAATATCGAGTGGACTTCATGCAACCAGATGCAAATGATATAATAAGACGTGGTAATGCTAATAATATCATAGCACATGGTGTAATGAGAAGGTGTTTATAGTGATAAAATTGTTCCTGCAAATGTTCTTTATAGCTCTTTTGCTGGCGAACTACTGATCGATGGCGAGCAACGACAATAATAATAACCAGTGCACAGATGAAATTGATCACAAATGGAACAAGAAAATGAAAAAGAACAATAAATGAATGAAAAGTACGTACATATGAAGAATACTGAGCAATGCACCAAGTACGTTGCTCTTGTACATCATCTGCTAAATGCCGATAAAACGGGTCGTATATTATCGACATTATATTGACAATAATGATTATCACAATGATCCACTTAGCTACTTGTCGACTTTTCTTTGTGTCGAACCGCATACCTAATAAAACGGTTATTGCTCGTTCGGTAGACACACATGCATAGAGCCAATCACTTGTACTAAGAAGAGATCGAAGTATAAAGTCGAGTGAAACGCATTGAACCAAAAGAACGAATTGGTTGATGAAGATACCCATTTGAGAGATGAGTAATAGGCTTAGTTTTATTGCTAGCATAATCATAGTCAAAAGGGAAATGACTGATGAAGCCAGAAGATACGCCACACAGCCAGGATTTCGAGTAGATTGAACTCGGAAAGTCAAAATAGATAGAATGCTGGTAATAATGCCGATTAAAACAACCAGAAAAATAATTATTATACTGATTTTCAGTGCTAAATTTTGGAGAGAGAAAGGAGTATTTGGTTGAATATGGTAGCCAAGGATAATGTCAAGAGACAGAATAGCGTCACTAGTCGAAAATTGACACTCGGTTCCATAGAAGCATTCTTTACAGAAGCATGCAGATCTTCTTGGGCAAAAGGGATCGTCTTGGAAACATTGAGCATCGTTCTTGCAATCGTTTTGTCTTGAACAATCATAACTCATATTGTGATCAAAACTTAGGCAATTTGCGTGACGTTCTTCAGTGCACAAACATATTTGAAACTCATCACGAAAACATGCAAGCTGAATATATGTTTGACATATCAGATGATAATATTTTACACGGCGCATTATTCCATAGCTATAAACTGTTGAATTGAGCAATTCAATGACAGCCATGCATTGTTGTGAGTGAGAGATTTGTGTTTTGATTGGTATTAAGGATATATTTTCTCGAAGAATAGTTAGGTAGTAATTATTCTCTATTTGAGTGAATAGAAGATGAAATCTGACTGATGTATATACTGTAGCAATTTCTTGACCGAACGAAATCTTCTTCATTGTTGTTATTCGCTTATGAGCTGTCTCGCCTGTAGCTTCGATAAAATGAAGGAGAATGCCGGTTGGTATAGACATATGAGAAAATGTGATATCAATGCGAAGAACTGAATGTTCACATCTAAGTCCAAAATATTGTTCGTTGCATATGCAAATGAATCCTTGTTCAGATACACGTTCATCCATAGGTATACATAAACCGTGGTATGAACATGTATCCCGTCGACATGAAGAACGTGTTAAATAGCAGCGAGGGCCAAATTTTCCTATAGGACATAAACAAATCGATCGATGAATGACGCTAATAGAATTGGTTGAGCAATCGCTAATGAGTGTTTCATTGCATGATGGATTAGTCCAACCTTGATCACATTGACAGAAAAATTTTGCTGGCGCATTTACATATGTTCTACAATGACCGTGACTTCCACAAAAATGATCGCATTTTGACAATATTTCTGACGAAATATTGAGAATGGTAGCAATTCGATTGACAGGCAAAAATGGAAATAGGACAGGTAGAAACCAACTGGCATGGTAAGTGAGATCATTTTTATTGTAAGCGTGAATAATTACTGAATAGTTTCTTGTCATGTTCTTGGGTCGAGTTCGATACGTTAAATAGTGGTTGAATTTCATAAAACAATGATATATCGGAATGTAATCAAACTGAACATGCGATTGAATATCGTTATGATCGTCAATCAATAAAATGAACACACTGAACACTTTTTTATGCAACTCCAACTGTCCTAATATTTGATAAAACTGAAGTGTCAAACTAACTCGTTGATTTTGATGTTGGCATCGATGTCCGTAGTAGGTTGGCGGACAGAAGCATATCGGGTTTATGTTTCTGGAAATTGAAATTCCTCGATTGCATTTCACAGCTGTTGATAATGGTATTACAGACTTAATACTTAGATCATTCTGCTTATATTTGACTGAAGGCGTAGAAAGATGAGGAATGACAGTATATTGCCTGCCACTAAGGGTGAAAGGGCGTTCTGGACTTAATCCATAATGCTCTGCTTGAGGCAATTCTTCCGATAGGTTGCAGAGAACGGCTTGTTTAACAGTTCGATTCATATCATGGTACGATTCACATATGCCATATGGCATGTACATGGCAGAAAAGTCTTCACAAAATTGTTCATCATCGTGAAACCGTTCACACTGGTAGCCCTCACCTTCGATTCCACTAAGGTAGGTATAATTGTCACAAAGTTCTTTAACACTTATACATTCTGTATCATTCCAACATCGGTATCGACGTTTTCTATCGAAAGGAGCTTGACGGCGGCAAAGGTCACGTTCGTCTGATGCACCCCGACAATCAATAATGCCATCATTAGCTCTGGATATTGGTAAACAGTTTAATTCGTTGGTGATCGGTGATAAGCAAGGATGTGTCGCAGGTGGGCAAATTGAACTACCACAATACGCCTCGTCTGTACCATTAGAACAGTGCCAGATGTGATCGCAGCGTGTGTAAATATTGTCACATGGCCAATACATACAATTCGTTTCGTCTGTTTCATTTCCTTCGAGAGCTATCACATTAGCATGCATATCACAAAGCAACGGAAATGGTGGTTGTTGATTTCGCTTTTCATGAATCTCATCAGTCTTGTCCTGGTTATACAAACAAGTAAACGATCCATCGATTGTATCGGTGATCAATAAACACCTATTTCTATAAGAAGATATGGTTCTCGAACACTCTACACGAACACTATTCTTAACGTAGAAACATGTTGCGCCAACTTTTTCATCGATTTCATCAAAACAATCAGTATTTCCGTCGAATAGACGATGTTTCGATATACACTTACCATTATTTGGACAATGGAAATGATGATCTGATCGGCAGTGGGTTCTATTTAGTGCTGTTGAGTCTCGAGATTCACAAATACCTAACAATGTGCGTAAACTAGCCATCCAATTTGTTGAACGTTCTACGAAGTAATATTTTAAGATATCAAGTTGTATACAAGTTGACCAGTTACCAATTTGTTCAGTCAATAGAGGGAGACGACCATCACATAGATTATTTTTAAAACATGCAAAAGTAAATAATTCTACTCTGTGCATATTCGAGATATTTGTTTTGACTACAAGATCGACGTTTCCAAGGAGCTCCGCTGCCAAAGCAGGATATACAAAATACGGTAATGAACAAGAGCGACGAATAAGTTCACCGCAAGATATTGAATCGTCAGGACAAAAGTGACCAGCACACGCTTGTTGCGGAATTAGACACCATCTGACTGCCCAACAATCGTCAGATAATAGTGGATTTGCTTGGCGGCTGAGTACTTCCGTTAATATAGCTCGATCACGACCATTTAGGCATTCGTCTGATGAAAATAGATTAGATGTTTGGAGGAAAGAACCGTCCCGACAAGCACCATCACCACAACTATTTTGTAATTGTGTGGTACATTTTCGTTCTTCGCATCGAAAGGCTGGATCAGTCACGCATTGTTCCCACAAAAACGCAGGCACTAAACGCTCATCTGTTCCATCGAGACAATCAGGATTTAGTTTATTGTCATCTATCATCCCCAACGGAATACACTGAGCACCATTATAACATCGAAATTCATTTTCTTCGCATTCGTTAACTTCAAGTTCGAAACAATTCTGTTCATCTTGGCCTCCATTCAAGCAATCTATCTTTCCATCACATATCTCACGCCAATCAAGGCATGCCATTACAAGTCCGCGTGTGCATTCCAAATGATTGTAACAGGAATAAATGGTATATTTCACGGGATCATCGTCGTAATCGAGATCACCTTTTCTTTTAAAAACTTGCTGGACATAACTAGAAAAAGATAGCAACAATAGAAAGCTATACTGGCAAGCAGAACCAAATCTGAGTGCAGAGCAATTTTTGAAGACAACATTTTCTTCAGAAGTTGCCACTGTGGATTCGAGGTACGCTTGATATTGTTCTACAACATCAATAGGTGTTGACCATCTGTATAATTGTTCGCTTGTAATATTCTGTTGTTTCAGTTCGACAAACTTTATTCCGGTTATGTTATGACGGGCGACCATATCCGACGGTTCAATTTGTGCACAGTATGGAATGAGTTGATAGACTGGACCAAACCACGAAGGACGTTCAAATAAATGCTCTATCTCTTCGTCGTTGACATAATAATATAAACAGTCATATTGTAAATCGTCTATCAATCTCGATCGATCAGTACGATACAAATGAAATACTGTATCCACAGACATCAACGAGTATATGAATAGCAATAGTAGTTGCAACATGTTGGTCATTCTCAATAGTGAACTGTATCTTAAAAAAATGTTAAAAGTCTTGCTTTTGTCTGCTGCATTTATTGTATTTTGAGTAATTTAAAACGCATTTATATCCATATTATTGATGATAATGAATCGAACAAATACTCAATGTTCAGCCAAACGTTTGAATAATAGGCGTACTATAAAAATAAAAAATGGTACGTATGAGTTTGATTCTTTAATTCTGTTAGAAAGAATATATAAAGCAAGATGACAATCGATTTGAGTTCTTTGAAACTCATCTATTCAAAAATGTTAGTAAACAACAAAATTTTCTAGGCTATACATAATACAAAAGTATTTATTAGATCACACAAACTGACTAATATGTTGAAATATATATCCCATGCAGCCGGACGTTGCATTACCATGTGATTATTGCCATTATTTTGCATTAGAACGCTGAAACAATTTATTATAATGTAAAATAATGGCAATAATTACATGATAATGCAACGATCGGCTACAACGGATGTGTAAATAGGAAAACTATCATCTTTCTTTGAATACAATCGTTAATTAGTACTCTTCAAGAGTCAATAGCACAACAATAAAAGACTAACGAATTGATAATGATGTTGATGACTCACTCAGACCTGAGCTTGTAGCTTCAGAATAAAAACGTTTTTTGTGAATATTATAGGCTATGAGATTTTATGTATGGGCTATCAATGAAATTCTATGCATTTCATTGGCACAACACTTCGTCGACATATCAATCTATTCATAATCAGAGGAGGTATAGATGATTTTAACAGAACTAGAGTGGGTGTGGGTGAGAGTATAAGCAATTATTAAAAACATATTCCCATTCCTATTCGCACCCGCCCTTGAACTTTAATACTTTATTATAGTGTTTTTCAAATCGAAGGAGTTACCTAAAGCTGGAATATTGGTGAATCTCTTTAAATATTAATAAATCTCACTATATGCCGGTTATTCAGTTTAAGCAGTTGTCGTTTCACCGATTCACCGATTTAACTCGTATAGCGACTGATGATCGTCGCCGTTGCATCTCTATTGCAATCTATATCGGGCTGGAAAATTGTGTACTTTACAACTGCATCTGCGTCGTAAAACGATCATGCGGACATTACTCTTCTCACACCTTCTTCGATATATTGTTCTATCTGCAATCTCCTGAGTGCACATCACTCTATCTCTATTCACATATGTATATCAGAATATCTATATTTTTATTGACGGATTACGCTGATCATGACTATATAGTTCTTGTTCTAAACTGTTTAACAGATGCATCAGTATACATTTTTCTCTATGCACCATTATCTACATCTATGTATGCATGATATTACATTTTGATGATAATTTGGTAAATTGCGGTTCGTGAGTGTCTTTGAGTATCCACATACATCTGTCTACTTTACGCCCATTTTAATCGATTTTTCTTTGTTGTAATTAGGATGAATCCATTTTTTCTCATTCTTTAAAATGAAAATCAATTTTAAGATTATACTTACTTATTCTGTATTGGTAATTTCTATGTAGTAGGAACTACTTTTTAACGGCATTTTGTCTATTCTTTTAAATCCTGCATCCTCGTTCTATAAAAGAAAAAAATCAAAGAATTATAGAAATATTATGATATGTTAATAAGATAGATAAGGAGAATTTGTAATAAGGTATAGTTTAATACTCTCTGTGTATTATTTTTATAACATAGATATCAAGTTATTAGCGCATAGGAAAATTGACACATGTACAAGAGTTATTACAATATTTAAATATGTCAATCGACAAAAATTTGATAATAAAGATAAGGAGGAGAAAATATTAATAAAATCAAAGACAGAATATGAGTGTAATACAACAGCTTTTATCAATATTGTATTATTAACTGACGTTTTGTAATAAAATTGTTTGGTTGAGGGTGAGAGTGTAGCCGCATATTCTCTTAACCCATACCGTTCTTCGGGTGAAGGTGTGATGTGTATATGTATGAGGATGGGTGTGGATGGATATTCATTAGTTATCTACACCCACACCTACCCCACACCCACACCCTCACCCACACCCTCACCCTCACCCACCCCACACTCACACCCTCACACACTCACACCCACACCCTCACCCACCCCACACCCATTTACGATAAAATGAAGCACACAATTTATGTGTTATTGAGAAAAGGATATACAAGAAACCCTGAGGTCATTTGTCACGAACAGTTTTTTCAGAAAAAAAGTTATTTTAATAAAGAAATAAATGTCAGCTAAGCTATTACTCCTGTAAAAAATTGTCAGTTTTTTTCACCTCATGTACTCAACGGTTAGATATGTGCAATTATCATAAAATTAGTTAGTAGGGTGTGGGTGTGGGTATGGGTGTAAGGACGATAGAAGAACGAGTCTCTTACTCTCACTTACACCCATTCATTCTTAAAATTTCTGCGCAAATAGCTTGTTATGTTTTTTCAAAGTAGTTTTACAATCACATAAACTGTGCATTCTTTTTGGAGAAGAGATTCAAGGACGAGGAAAATGATTATTCGTAATCTTGCGTTGATTGAAGCTCTGTGAATGTTATTTATTTGCCAACGACATGGTAATTCTCTTACGACGCAATTCTTGTTATTTCGTCGTCGAAAGAGAACAGCAAAAATCTGCTTTATCTTATCTTGCGCACGTAACTACAGAACAGAAAGAAAGCTTTTACAAAATTGAAAAAAAAATCTATTATTGGTTTAATTTGAAACTATCAGCTCATGATATGTTCGTATTGTATTTAGTTGATGAGAAAGCAGAGTTTTCTATATTTTAAATTTTATAATCTAAATCAATAGAAAACAGCATTCGATCAGTTTTGTAAACGTCTTGATTCACCGCATGTTTTGGCAACTGTGCTAACTACGAGAAACTTATAACAAATCAAATTCATTTTCATCATCATAAACGAGCTTACATAGACTATCTACTGCCAAACTTAACAAATGATTTCTTTCAAACCTGATGGGCGAGAGTGGTGCTTCTATCATCTCTACATTCACTGCTGATCAACCTTATCTTGCAGAAGGGTGTGACGATTGCTAGACTGGAGTGTGATATTGACTATGTATATTTTATTTAAGAAGTCGCACACCTTACCAAATATTCCTTGTCCTTTATATAGTACTTAGAACATCTAGTATCTTGCTACAGAAAAATGCCACACTGTATAGAAAAATGTCACATCATATAGAAAATGTCACCATTCAGTGTATAGATTAAAGGCATTCGATCAAAGTACATACTAGTGAGGTAAAGCATCGAAATTTATGCTCTATAAAGATGGATATCTAAGTGCAAATAGTGATAGAGAGAAAAGAACAGTCCAATGTTCGTACTGTCACAAAAGGTGTGAAGTATTTGCTTTTGCACTATAGAAAAAGAAAAGATATCAATAATTTATTATAGTGAAAGACTGAAGAATATTTACCAGATATAATCGCAGTACAGAACAGAACGACGTAAATCATTTGTGAAGAAAAAAATGGAGAGCATTGTTGCTGTTTCTACTGTTTTATATTGGACGAATTTCACTTGGTTTAATCAACCAACGGTATGGTCTGTTAATGAAACTAAACTTTATGTTCATACCGATCCTGATACTGATTTTTGGAGTAAGACACACTATGGTTTCGAACGTGATACTGGTCATTTCTATTATCGATCATTGACTGGTGATCGATCTTTCACAGTAGAAGTCAATATCCGAGGACAATACCATACGCTATACGACCAAGGTGGTTTAATGTTACGTATTGATAAGAACAATTGGATCAAATGCGGAATAGAATATGTTGAAGGTCAACACTATGCTAGTGCTGTTGTAACTGTCAACGGTTGGTCGGATTGGAGTGTTGTTGCAATTAATCCAGTTGATATTTTGAAATTACGTGTTAGACGAGAAAAGGAAGCTGTACATATTGACTTTGCCGAAGGTGAACAAGGAGATTTTAAAATGTTGAGATTAGCATATTTACCGGTGATAGATCGATCACAAGCCATGATGGTTGGAATTATGTGCGCATCTCCTACTACAAATACGACAGGATTCAATATTACTTTTGACAGTTTATCTATTATAGAAGAGCCTGACAAAAGTACGAGTGAAGGCGTCACTTTTCATTCTACGTTTTTCTGTGTAGTTGTCGCGTTTATATTATCATTGAAGCATATTATATATACAGTGTGTTCTTATTAAATTTCCTCCGTTAGTTGTTTTCATTTCCATTATTAAACTTCTTTTATTCTTTATAAGTCTTGAGGATGGGTGTTAGCAGAAAAAGGATGTGGATGTAGATTCATAGATTTGAATCCAAGTAATATAATGATGTTTAACTAATTAAAACTACTATTTAATCATCGTTCAACAATATTCAGACAATGTTGTGTCTACACCGATTAATACCGATCGACAATGCTCTTCGATAATTGAATTATTCAATTCCATTATGATGAACACGACAGACATTCAACGAAGGGTGCGAGGTGTGAATGGATTTTAAGGGGTAATACACTTACATCGAACCACACAGACAGGTACACTCACATCCTCACCACTAAGATTTAGCTCATGAACCAACTTATCATACTCTCGTACATATCATATTGTAATAAATATGAGCGCATGGTGGTATTTATTTAGCATATTCTCTTTGTATTGCTTATTCAAAATGTCGGGGAATCGTTTTATCTTCATCACGATAAAGACAAGGTCTGTCGTCAACTAAATGTAAGAGCAATCTTTCACGGAAAAATATTCTTAAGAAAAATGTCGAGTTTCATCGAAAAAGACAACATATAAAGATAAAATTCTATAGACCATTATATAAATGAAGATAAACATATTACTCATATTTTAAGAATAATGCAAAACATAAAAAAAAGATAAAAACTCCAACCGATCTTCTTCATAATAATATATAAAGTCATTTTACTGAGTTATTATTATCAGAAAAAAGAAATACAATAATTATGACTGAGTAAGTTTCTTTATTTTATAAGAAGACAATATTTATTTGAATGAATATTTAGTCCAGTGCAACGTTTTGCCCTAGTTTCAAGTATAATATTAGCGATTATTTATGTTGGGTCAGCAATAGCAAAACTTGTAGTATATTCGAAATGCAGCGATGAAGAATGTCCTATTGAAACGAAACTTAATACTTATTTACTTTATGGTGGAATTGTTGATATTGCATGGATAGGTCTTTCAATAATCGCACCATGTTGTGGATTCAGTCCTACAACTTATCTTGTGACAAGAAAAACAAAACTTAATGGTACAACAATAAAGAAAAAAGTCACCGAAGAAGAACATGGAGGTTTGTTTAAATACATTATTTTCTCTGTTAAAATATAAATTGATTGTTTAGGTTATGGTACTTATCTAGTACTTGCAGCACTCGGATGTTTATTAGCAAGTTTTATATTTGCATGTTTGGGAAATGTCTGGATTTTGAATAAATATCAACATGTAGAATTTTATAATGCAACATCTTCGGAATATTGTTATCCACCCTTATTTAAAGGTGCTTTTAGCATGGTAATTATTACCGATGTTTGGTATGCTTTTTTAACTTTCATGATCATTATTCTTTGTTATTTTAAATAAAACCATCTTGAGGGTGTGGGTGTGACTGAAGAAAAGACATATACACCCACATTCATAATATATCTAAATAATAATATACGATAATATAATTTCAAATGAGTTTATTCAAATAAAAATAGCTTGATTAATAACATCTAAATTATAGTTTTTTTCACACATTTATGTTCAATTCATTATAGTAGACAATGGCGCTGTTGTTTTTATCGAATATATGAGAAAAATTAAGTAGTAAATCGATTATGAAAACAACTTAATGCAATAGCAAATGCTTCCGTAGCTCTAAGAGGATATCGATAGTCAAGAGCGAAATTATTTTCATCAATACGACCAAATTCCATAACAATATGTTCTGCATCTAAAAGAAAAATTGAAAAGAAAAAGCTCTATTCAATCAAAACTAAAACATACTATTTGTGGTTAACATAACTAATTGAAAGTTTTTATGTGATGGTTGTATTACACGACTTTCAACGAAGGTCAGGTGATGACTTTTAGTTTCTGTATTAAATATAAAAATGTTTTTTTTGAGAAATAAAATTAAATATTTATAGATAAACCTTCATTAAATGTTGGAATTTTATTTCTTAATTGCATTAAATCATTTGAATGTCCAGCTGCCCATTCATCAATTATAGTTTCATTATCCTTCGAAAAGAAAAAAAGTCTAATTGATGATCAAATGAAAATCTATTCACTTTTAATTGTCGAGTCGTTTTTTCAGTATCATGTAATAATACAACTAATCTTCTTGGATGACCTTTTCCAATTAAATGTTTTTCCTAAAATATTTGATAAAAATTGAGTTTTCTTTTTGCATGAGGTGGGTGTGGGTATGGCTGAGAGAAGAACGCAATACCCACATCTTGATCATGTTCATCAAAATAATTATTTCAAAAAAATCTTACATAAAGTATAGCTGCCAATTGTGGTTTACCAGTTTTTTGATGATCATAGAGTACATATTCATGTCCAATATTCGTCGTACGTTTTAATTTTGCAATTGAATTTTCTTCGTTGAGATTTTTTGATGGATTATCTACATTATATCCAATAAAATATTCTGAATGTCCACCGACTGCAAAATGTTTTCTTGCAATTAGAAGTAAAGACTTTAAAAGAAAGAGAAGTCAAGTCAGTTTTTTTTGTTAATAAATAAAAATACTTGATCATCTGTCGTTTGTCCATCAAAATACAGATAATATATTGTTGAAAAAGCTTTTGTACGACCTTCTTTTTCACGTTTTACATGACAATGAATAAATCCTGAATGATCTTCTGGAATTGTAGTACTCACATATTTTTTTATATCAGTTTTTATTAAATTTGCCGCATCGAAATTAGATTGATTTGTCTGGAAAAAAATCAAACAAGTTAACAAAAGAAAATTTTATTTTAAAAAAGAAAAACCGTTTTTTTCAAAGAATCTTGTTTATTAGTTTCTAAATCAAAAAATCTATTTGTAAGATAATAAATAAATACTTTCTTCAAACCTGATGCAAGTGGCACAATTTTATGTTGAGAATTTAATTGATCATCATCGTCATCGATATCATCATCATCGTGATGAGTTAAACTAAATATTTGTCAAATATATAAGTAAATTCATTCAAGAAAATTTTGATCTAACTTTTCAGTTGTTTGTAATTCAAGGCTTGTCATGTTTGATGAAGAAATTTTATTTAAAGAAAAAAAATCCGTCTGTATAAAATCTTATTAGAGATCGATGAAAGGAATTTTTTTTACAACATTTTCTTTTTCGTTTCTCTTTCATCTCATGGGCACGTTTGATTATTTTACGTTGTTACTATTTTTACCCTTTTTTTGCGTCGAACATAAATGAATTCAACGAGTAAACGAAGTAAAATTATTTTTAAAGACAAAAAAAAACTAAAGTAAAGTGTTTAATACTGTACTCTTCATGGTGTGGGATAAGAGACACCAGTTATCCACATACCCATATTACATCCTCACTCAAATATGCATAATTATATAATAGTAAAATTTGGTCAACATTATCGCGGATTTTATTAAATAGTTTTATTAGAGTGAAAAGTGTGGAGTACAGAAAAGCTAAATCAACATTCAATCTCAATTTCATAAAATATTGGAAATTTTTAAAAATTTCTTTGACCTCATGTTAAATTTTACGCAACATTTAAGTTATTTGATTCACACCCACATCCTCAAGAATTTTTAACAGTCATCAATGTGCAAATTTGATCAATTATGTATCATATTTATGGTGCATAAAAAAATGCAATTATTCACGTATATGCACGTGTTAAATAGTTCTAAGTATGATACAATCGAAAACAGTTAAACAATACCGAGAAGCTGTATCATTGTAAGGACGAATGTTTGTAATACGAAGCAAAAAGACATGAACAATTTGCATCTTCTTATTTAGGCACATAAATCTCAATAATTTCTGTAACGTCTTGAAGTGTGAGTGTTGAATGATATTTTACTGTAAAATAAATTACTACACACACATGTCTATATATATCATGGAATGGTAAATTTGGGTAGAACCGGGGATTCAATCTTTATTGTAAAACAACAAGAACAAGAACGATAGAGAAGAGGATGGGAGATATACGACACATGTACGTATGTGTGCGTGTACATATATGTATAGGATCACGATAAGGAATGATCCCATACCTATATAAGAGGAAAGGAAAGAAATATATGTATATATGATAGAAGAACACAAGGAATGTTCCAACATGATCAGAGGGAATATACCTCAGCAATAGCAGGGATTATTCCTAGCAAACATAAGGGAATGAAAGAAACGTATACCTAAAATATATATTAAAGCCATCTCTAGAAAGGAAATGAAAGAACTAAAACAAAACGAACGATAACAATCTCTGTAAATATTTCACAATTTCTTCTAAAGCTTTTTGTTGAGTTACTGATCACGTGTAATCATATTACTAATGTGCTTTTTTTATCATCGAATATTAGTAAGTCAAAAAACAAATATCGATAAAGAAGGTAATTACCAACAAAAAAACTTGTATAAAAAGCACTGTTTTTGTTTTATGTTGTCCACAATAGTATTTTTTTGTCTCCATTTAGTTATATTTGTTATTTTCAAAAAAATGAAAATTTTTCTCACGTCACTGGACGAAGTCAATATTCCATGCGAAGTAGAACCTTCGGACACAATTGAAACATTAAGAATCAGAATCGAGAATCAAACAGGTCTCTCGCGTTATGGTTTACGTCTTCTATTCGTCGGTCGACAACTGCAGGATCACGATACATTCAGTTATTACAATATCAAAGAGGGAAGTGTAATTCATGTTCCTCATCGATTTCACAAAAATAACGACAATCAATCAGTATGAATAGACAGTAATTATGACTAAAATACACATTTTGTTAAAGTTATTATTGTATATCTCAAACACTTTTCTACTGATAAAATTTATTATAAAACCATGAAAAGAATTCTTCTTATTTACAAAATCATTGTAATGTTTTTCTGATAAAATACTGAAATCAAAATCATACTACGTATAGAACGAAGACAGTTCGTTGATTATAATAGAAAATAATGACTATATATATATAAATAAAAAAATGAAAAACGATTATTTGTTTTTATAATCAAATTTAACTATTTTTTCTGTCGGTATTCTTCTTCCATTGTTTATTGTATATCGATAGATTCTTTTCTCATATTGAATATTGGATTAATAGAAGGCTTTATTTATACCGATAAGATTATAACAGAGAAGGAGAAAGTTTAGAAATAGTTTTATACATAATGAACATACTAAACCCCCGGATATTAGAAGACCTCCCGGAGGATCTTTTTTTGCGGAAATTGTGTATTTTGACGGGAATTTCCACTTAGTTCGATGGATCATAATAGAGGACCGGGGGTCTCATAACAACTATATATATTAATTAAAGATTATTTTACAGAAGTGTTTTTAACAATTGGAAAATTAATTTAAAAGATAACGGATAAAAACTCACAGTATATTAATTTTCGTCTTTTTTAATGAATTATGTCTCTTAATTCTAATAAATGAAACGAAAATTAAATCTCAATTAACATTCCTTTGTGTTAATTGTTTTTTTCTAAAAATTGAATTAGTTTTTATTGTAAAAGTGGATATCTACACATATGTACTTTGAACTTGAATTTCACAGGCCAAGATTAAATACAAAACATTTCATATAAACTATTCCTTTATTTTTCTTTGATCAAAAGAAATTAATTTATAAAAAAAACGTTTGATCGTTTTGTATTTATCCTATATTCAATGTATTTCAGCGATTAAAATCTCTATAAAAAACAATCTTGCAGATATTTTCCTCAATTGCTTGTGACAGACTATATATTTCTATTAAGTTGTTACAGGTGAAATTTATTTTTTTTAAACAGTTCATCGCAAAATAAACTGATTACAACACAAGGTGAAGAGAAAAAAAATGGTATCTGAAGTATAATATATTTCATCTTCTAGTATGATATGTTGCAAAAGTATTGTCATTGTCTTCGGCACGACTATACATTTCGTTATCGAAAACATCTGTGAGCTGTTCTTTTTGAGAGTATGCACGAAGTTATATATAATGCTTAAGGTCACAATGATCGGCCACATTTAGACAAAGAAAATGGCTCAAACAATGAATTCACTTCACAATGAAAGGAAAAGAAATACGAAGTATAACGACAAACAACAAATATATACATATATATATCGGTGCTATTGATTAAATAGAAAGGTATACGTCGTTGTTAGTATCGTTTTTTTTCTAAATCATACAATCATAATCATTTATTTACAATTTAAAAATGCAAAATAATCATCGCATAGAGCCAATGTCAACTGATATATCTTCAACTTATAATCAATCTGGAATTCAACTTAATTATATTCGAACGATTGACGATAATCATAAAATTAACACTGATGCAAGTTTGTCTGATGTGAAATACAATTCTATTACGAATTATTTTCAAAAAAATTTCAACAAATGTCATTGCCTTCACGTGGAAAAACGTGGTATCGAACGTATTTTACCAGAAGATCGTACCGATTTAAGAATTATGAACACAGCAATGATATGGGTAAGTAACCAGTTAATTTAATCACTCTTGAAATAATTTCGATGCTTTTATTTAATTTATTTTCCACCATACGTGTCACATTCTGTGAAGAGTAACGAAATAATCTTACAGACTTTCAATGATTTTGTTTCCTTTTTAAGTTATGAAGATAAAAGTATTCTTGATAGAATAACTTTTCAAGTTTAAAAAATATTTTGTCTTGAATTTTTGCGTCTTTGATTTATGGAATTCAGAGGAGACCACTGAAAAAATGTATTATTTGAAAAATTTCGATAAGAAGTGACATGATTTTTGAAAATTTCTTAAAGAAATACATGAAAGTGATTATTTTATTTATACTATACTAGATTAAAAACATAAAAAAATGTTGAAGTTTTATAATATATTAACCAGTAATATTTTCAAGTTTTTTTCCTAAAAGAATGAAATAATCATTATTCTTTCATTATTTAATAGGTGGGTGCTAATATCATTATACCGACTTTTACTGTTGGAATGCTTGGTCCTGCAGTATTCAAATTGGACCTGTACACTTCATTTGTAACAATTATTATTATCAATTTGCTTGCTTGTATACCAGTAGGAATAATAGCTTGTTTTGGTCCAGCATCTGGATTACGTACAATGATCTTTTCTCGTTACAGTTGGGGTTATTATGGTGCTTCTATAGTATCAATTTTAAATATTATTGTTGCACTAGGCTGGGCGGCTGTCAGTAGTATCACTGGTGCACAAATATTACGTGTTGTATTTGATGATTTATTACCAGTAGCAGTTGGTATTATTATTATTAGTGTTGTGTCGATGATCGTTTCATTTGTAGGTTATAATTGGATTCATATTTATGAACGATATGCATGGATACCAATAGTTATAGCATACTGTATATTAGCTGGCATTGGTGCAAAATATTTTACACATTCTCAAACGGTAAAATTTGTGAAGACTAAAAAACTTAATCTTTTGAAATATTCGACGTGATAAATAATAAGTGTAGTTCTATTTTTTGTTGATGACATAATTCGTTTTAGAAGTATCTGTATGAAAAGTCTATCGTTATAATAGACTTTATAGAAGTAAGAGTCTACTGTTAATAGTGATGAATATTATGAAGTATCTCAATACATATATATAGTTACATTATTTATAGGTATTTCCTGACGAAACTATATCAAATAATGGACGTCATTATCAGAAAATAATTTACATTATAAATTTTGGCGCCATATGTTTAGGTGGCTCAATCGTTTGGTCTTCATTTGCAGCTGACTACAACACATATTTTCCTCAAGATACAAATCAATTAAAAATCTTTCTGTTAACTTACATTGGTAATATTATATCAGTAATTCCATTAGAATTGCTTGGTGCAGCTGTATATACTGGCACATATAGAAATTCAAAATGGGCTGATGCTTATAAAAATGATAATGTAGGTGGATTATTAGGTGCTAGTCTTTCTCCACTTGGTGGCTTTAGAAAATTTCTACTTATTTTATTTGCATTATCAACTGTTGCATGTAATATACCAAATGTTTATTCTTATTCATTATCTATGCAAGTAAGTGCACCAATATTTGAACGTATACCACGTTTTCTATATACAGTAATTGGTACTGTGATCTATGCTCTAATGGCTATTTTTGCTGCAAATAACTTTAATGATTCATTAACATTATTTGTGGATTTAACTTCATATTTTTTTGGAATATATCTTGTTATTGTATTTGAAGATCATTTAATATTTCGACGTTGTTCATTTAAAAATTATAATTTCAATATTTGCGATAATCGTAAAAAATTACCAATTGGTTTAGCTGCAATTCTATCAAGTTTCGTTGGAATAGTTGGTATTGCACTTGGAATGTCTCAAACTTGGTTTAGTGGACCAATTGCAAAAGCTATTGCAAATGATAGTGGTGAACGAGGTGCAAACGTTGGCTTTATATTTGGGTTTATATTTACAGGAATTGTATTTCCACTGTTTCGATTTATTGAACTGTATTTTATTGGACGATAAATAATTTTTTTATTGACTCAAAGACAAATAAATTATATTCTTAAATATAATTATCCTTTGTATAGAGTTTTTGTTGTTCTATGTATCTTATTCTAATAATGATGTGTAAAAAAAGACTTGTTATTTCTCATAAGAATATCGAGTTTTGATGTGAATAAAAGTAACAATCATGTTTTATTTATATTTTATTATTAACTAAGATTTTTGACTTTACATGAATCTTGCTAATAAGATTACGTTCATCATTTATATTTTTGGTGAAGTTCTGCCCAATGTATTTACTTACATTGTTCGTTTGTAATTAGCTAACTCTCAAGTGATTGAATATAGTGTCTATTTTGCATCTATAATTCTTATTAGAATCTTCTTGTTGATTATTTAAATAAGAAGAACTATACTCAATTTGAAGCTTATTTTAGAAGGATGACGACGATAACATTGAATAATTTTCATTTTATAACTAATTAATAAGAAATTCTTTGGTTCCGTTGAAAGCTGCAAAACAAACAACAACAAAAAAAGAGATTGAATGCATATTTACCAAATTGTTTGTTAGTGGTTTAGTTGTTTCTGTCACGATGCTTCTATATATAAAAATATCATACAGACTCGGTACACTCAATGATAAATTAAGTCCTCATTGAAGCATAATTACTAGGGCTGTTATTGAAGGTATTCCTTATGCATTTATGATTAATACGTTGTTTATATTAACGTTTATGCTTATAATTTTAATGATTTAAGGAACTTATTAGATTGTTTTTTTCCAACGTTCATTTGTGGCTAAGGTAATGCTGTTTACTTTAGTGCTATTCTGACACTTATCATCGGTCCTGCACTTGGTGTAGTGACAAATAATAGAAAATAATATGGCATATCGAGATATTTTCTTTTATTCATATGTTTTATTGAAATTATCTCTAATTGGAATTGAAGTTTATTCCATAGATTTTCTTTTCATTTAAGAATGTATTCACTATAACTTACGATCTGTACAGATAAGTAATAGCATCGATCAATCTTTTAGTGCTCACAGAATGAGAAGTCTTTCAAGCAGTGTATTTTTTTGAGATCCAGTTTTACTTTGAAAAAATACTCTTATTGATAGCAACTGCATAACGAGTGACAATGATGAAGAGAATTTTACATTCTTTTTATTGAATCATTTATCTTATAAAGTGAAGCATATATGTTTATTATAGATGCAAAAAGTATTTGTTAGATTAAGTTCAGTTTATTGCTTGAGTTGTTTCTTGATTCCAGCTGGTATAATGGGTGAACTACGTGTTTTGATGAAATAGATGTCAGCTAACCAGGTAGGTAACATTGATAAAGGATAATAGATAAGTTTTGATTGCCAGCCAGGTTTATAGCGGATATGCGGAGCTGTACTTGTAACTGCATGTTGTAGTGCTCGTACTACTTTAATTGGATCTTCCGCAAACTTAACTAGAACATTTTTTTTCAATTCTTCATAGTGACATGTAAAAAATTCCTCGCCCCATCGTTCTTTGACATCGGCTGATAACTGTATATTCACATCGTGTATAGACTGAGAATGTTTTTGAATGATTGGTGTTCGCATGACACCCGGTTCGATTATACTTACGTGTAAGCTCCAGGCAAACATTTCACGACGAAGACAATCTGAGAATGATTCAAGTGCGTATTTAGAAGAACAATAGGCAGTACCAGATGGTGGACTTATAAAACCGGCTACAGAGCAAATGTTCACGACGCGTGAATCTCGTTTACTGATAAGTAACGGCAAGAATGTTTTCGTCATAGCTACATGTCCGAAAAAATTGATATCCATTATTTGACGTATTGAGTCCACAGTGATCCAATCAATATGTCCAGCAGCTGGAACTCCTGCATTATTAACTAAAGCATGAAGAGTATTTGTCTTTTCCTTGATCATTTCATAAGCTTTGACAATATCTTGCTGTTGGGTAATATCAAGTAAGAAGACGGTAGCTCGTGATGAAAGTTGACTAGTTAGTGTAGCTTTACTATTATTACTGTAAATACCAGCAAAAACATTGAAACCTTGTTTGTCAAGTTCAATGGCTAATGAATTACCGAAGCCAGTGTCACAGCCACTAATTAGAACGTATTTACCTTGAGGATTTACATCAGGTGCAGGGAAAAAATGTTGATATAATTGGTAACTAATATAAAGAACCAAAACAAATGCAAGTATGAAAATCATGCTTTATTATTCCGATAGAACACAACACGTATGATGCAAAGAAACTTGCTCGTTTTTATCATTAATTGTTGATACTGATGCCGACAAAGCAAGTAAACTGTAATAATGCATCAAACACGTGTTTTCGTTTTCTTTTACTTTTCCATTGCAATAATATTTATTTTACGATAAGAAAAATTAACAAACTGACAATGAATACAAAATTTTGGTTTTATGGAGTATTACAATATACAACAAAGCTTCAATAAGGCCTACTTTTCATAGGCCTGACCTGTTTATTAAAGCACTATTAGAATAATAATTCAGTAGAAAATGGAAGTTATTTCTATAAGAAAACAAACAAAAAACTATTTTGATTTAATAAATTATGTAACTAGCAAATAGAAAGAAAAACTCTAAATTTAAGGAGAAATTTTTTTAAATATTGATTAATTAGTTAAATGGGATTGTATCATAACAGTTAAACGTAGGAAATAATTCACATCGAATTGTAGAACTAAGCAATGAAATAAATTTCATAATCCATTGCAGTGTATATGGGGAAAACAGATGTTTTCTCTTTTCTGATCATACAACTGGCGTTAGAGAAAATCTACATATGCCCTTGGATAAAGCTAAACAAGTCATACTGTTAAACTTCCTAGAGCAGCTCCATCATGTCTTCAAGTGAATAGGGGGTACGTTTGTTAAAGATGTCCCGACTCATACGGAAGACAAAACAACTTTTCTCCGTTTCATTCTTCTATACTTTCAGTTATGGAAAACCTCAAAACAGTACTTGATAGAGCTGCTCTAGTTATAGCTTAGAACTTTCTCCCACAGTTCTATCATGGGCCCAAGTAAGGAGGGGCAGATTTTTCGGGCCCTATTCGTGGATTTAAAGAGGAAAATCCTAGATTTTATTTTTTTGTTTTCGCTTGGTTCAAGTTAGGAAAAACTTTAATATCGCATTTAATAGAACTCGTCAAATTGTATTTTGAAATTTTTTGGAAGAGTTTTACACTGAATTCAAATGAATATGACCAGGTTCATAATGGAATGAAAAAAATATTTTTGATTTTATTTCATACTTGATTTGAAGTAGGAAAAATCTTAGTTTACCATTCAAAAGCGCTTCTTAAATCGTACTTTAGAGCACTGCGAAAGGGGTGGGTGTAGATGAGTAAGCAACTTTCTCATCCATATGCACTGCTGTTTTCCAGTGCCCACCTCAGTTACTGAATGCGATCACCTTGTGGATATCATTGGGAGATTTTTTCTTGTCTTTTCAAATAATCAGTTTTATGTCTTCTTTATTTTGATATTCATATACTTTCCTATGCTTGGCCTGTTGCAGAATTCACATATAAAACTGTCAGTGCAAGTTATAAGCACAGGCTTTGCGACTTTCATTACAGACACACTCCTTTACAGTGGAAAAAACTGAGTTTTTTGCAGTTTTTACATCGGATGTCTCAGAAAAATCAACAAAAAAAATCAATTTTCGATCCAGCTTATAGAAGTTATCAGTTCGTACAAGGAGAGAAAGCACAGGTTTTGAATTTCTTTGAGATTTATTATGCACAAAACTTCAAACCTCAAATTCTTCGAAATTATTGAATCACTCAAGGGTCTTAGAGACTGGTGGGCGGGTCGGGCGGGTGCAAAAAAAATAAAGTAGTATGATCCTCGGGCGGGCGGGAACAATTTTTCACGGGTTACGGGTGGGTAAAGAAATTTTTTGAGATTTAATAGCGGACCGTCGAGAACAATCGATAGGCATCGTTATATTGCACTTGTAACAAGAAATAAATCAATTTACTTGATTAGTCAACACCTATCACCTTGAAAGTAACTAGAGAATCCAGGTTTTTTTGGCAAGAGCAAGAAAGTGTAACACCTAATTTGTCCAAACTAACAAAAAAGATATTCTATATTTCAGTTTCAGTAGTAGCAGTTGAGCCTCAATATAGTTCAGCTGGTATTATTACAAGGGAGTAATAGCTGGCACTCAGCACCTGTTCGGTGTTTTTCGGTGTTGGGTGCCAGCTCTTACCCCCTTGCATAATACTCAGCATTATGCTGTCCTGCTGATCACTATGAAGTTTATTAATTAACAGTAAAGTTAAGTAATTATATTAATGTTATGTTGGAGAGGCCTATCGGACATTAGGGCTATACGTCGAAAAATTTCTCAATTTTAGGCCAAGCCTAAATTCATATGACTCGGTTCGTTCTAGTGTTTTTTATTTAAACGGTTAGCATGCACAATGTGTAATATTTTTTCTTGTAATAAATCTCGATATGTGATAAATAAATAAAATATATAAGATATACAATTTATGAAACTTTAATTATCAATTGAAATATTCTCGGAGTAACACGGGCAGGGCGGGTGGGACGGATTTAACACATTACACAGGGCGGGGCCCGCGGAACATCAAAAATCACTGCCCCGCACACCTCTAATGCATATATGACAGTCGGAATTCTTCTTTTGTTTTTTTTATATATGGAAGGTGCTATTTGTATATATAAATGACAACTAGAAAAATACACAAACCCAAACCCAAATCTATCAGACTCAAACAGTTTGGGTTTGGATCATGCCTGATTACTTCTCATAATGGAGGGCGTTGAATTGTTGAGCTCGGATAGGGCTCATACTTTGGCCATAGTTAGAAACCAGTGATAGTAGTCAAAGGTAAAAAGTGTACGTACCCGTACTTCGTCTTTCTGAAGTTATGGCCATTTTATTGAGTTTTCGGCCATAGAGTAGCTATCTAGTAAACAGCCGTGCTATACAATT